AAATATTGGATCACTTCTTTTCTTTCTAAAATTTAAAAATAATAATAATAATTGCTTGAATACATGCATGTGATAAATTATTTTGATGGCTATTAAAAAATGTTGCATTTTAAGCTAGTATAAAAATTTAATTTTTCATATTTTTAATATTTAATTTTAATATTTAATATTTAATATTTTAATTATTTTGATCCATTATTTGAATTGTAATGATATACACATTATGTATATCATCATATTTTATTAGATTATGTTTAGACTATATTTTAGATTTAAGACAATAAATTAAATAATATACTATAGCATACTAACAATCAGTTTTATTTATATACATTATCAACATTGCAATGATAAACACATTATGTATATCATCATTTTTTATTAGACTATACTTTAGATGTAAGACAATAAATTAAATAATATATCATAGGCAGGGCAGAGGACTTGTAGCTCTAAAAATTCACCAAATATGCATTTAAATATACAAAATATGCATTAAAAATATGCACTTAAGTATAAAAAATATGCATTTTAAAGTGGATATTTTTGAATAAAAATTAAGAATTTTTCTGTTGGTACTTATTATTTTTATGAWAAMATGTTATTTACAACTTTATTTAACAACTTACATTTAATTATTTGAATTATTTGGGTTAGGAGAAAATTAAAGAAAATATATAGACCTCGACACCCAAAAACTCGCTCAGTCGCTCACTCAGACCTTATTCACTCATTGTATTTTTCTTTCATTCTTAATTTATGTCATTTTTTTAAAAGTTTAAATAAAACAGTAGCAATATATTTCTTTGAACGTTATAATTTTTATTTCAATATATTCTTCCTGATCAACATCCAATATACATTAAGAAAAGTCTTACAAAGGTAACTCTACTTCACAATTABTACAAAAGGTAAGTGACACATTTATTCGACATTTCTTAAGCATTTCCTTTTTATTTAAATTTGAACTAAAGAAAAACTTTCTTACTCACCCCCAATTAAATGTCATAACAAATGATAATATTAAAGTAATGAATTAAAGATAAATCATAATATAAAGAGAGGACAACATTTAACTGTTCTATTATAAAGMTACATTAATAATTTGGAATATAATTATATCACCACACATTGCTAAATTAAATCTATTATTTATCTCACATACACTTTTAACGATATTTTTAACTCATAACAGAATATTACAACTATAGGTAGTAAATAAAAACAAYAAATTTAAATCACACACACATACACATACAGAAATAAAATAAAATATAAATCGGTATACTTAATTTAGTATTCTAGAATTTTTTATGCCAAATACAAAGAGATATTAAACTAACCATGTAATACTGTTTATAAAATATTCTTTAATTTGTTATGTACAAGTATCATACTAAACTTGTACAGTTTATTTGAATGGCGCAC